TCTGTGGGTTAACAAGGCTTAACAACTTCTGTGGGTGTACGAACGTAGGCTTAACAACTTCTGTGGGTGTGTACTCCACGCCAGTGTAGTAGCCACGGTCGTCCGCAGGCCACGAAGTGAAGTGTCCGAACGTCATAGGGCGGGAAGCTGGGTGTGGGTGGTGGCGAAGAGTCGTGTGGATATTTGGTAGAGCTTGCACTGCCCCCCCACAAAGTGGGGGTATTGGCTGGCGTCGCATGAAAACCCTGGCACTGGTGAGAACACTGAGCGTTCGGGTAAAGTGATTGTTGTTGTTGTTGTTGTTGTTGTTGTTGTCGTCGTCCCCCCCGCGACCCGCCCGCGACGACCCGCGACCCACCCCGCGACCCACCCGCGACCCACCCACCGCGACCCACCGCGACCCACCCCGCGACCACCCGCGACCCACCCGCGACCCACCCGCGACCCACCCACGACCCACCCGCGACCCACCCGCGACCCACCCGCGACCCACCCGCGACCCACCCCGCGACCCACCCCGCGACCCACCCCGCGACCCACCCCGCGACCCACCCCGCGACCCACCCGCGACCCACCGGCGACCTACACCGCGATCCACCCACATTGCTTCAACGAAAAAATAGGCGCCTTAGGCGGGCTCACTGCATGACTTGTAAAATATAGGCGCCTGCGGCGGGCTTCTTCGGAGCCTCGCAGACTGACGACGTCCTCGCCGCTCCCTCGCTCTTATCCGCAATTGCGGGGTGCTAGGTAAGGACGGACGATGGAGGAGCAAACGTCGGAGAACAAAAATATGGGATGTCGGGGGAGGGAGAGCAGGAGGAGCAGGAGGGGGAGGAGGTGGAGGAGGAGGGGTAGGAGGAGGTGGGGTCGAGCGTCATGGTTCGACGGTCGGTATTTTCTTGTTATGCAAATGGTTTGTTTTGTTTAGTCCTCGGGAGGCTTTTTCGGGGACTTCCGCACGCCTCCAGGGGGAGGTCCAGGGGCACTCGGCGGCCCCGGCGGCCCGAGCACAGGCGCGGAGGTCGTCGTCGTCGATCGTCGTCGATCGTCGTCGATCGTCGTCGGTGGTCGGTGGTCGGTCGTCGGTCGTCGGTCGTGTGTCGTCATCGTCGTCGTCGTCTTCGTCGTCGTCGTCGTCGGTGTCGTCGTCGTCGGCGCCGTCGGCGGTCGTTGTCGGATGCGTTTGGCGCTTTTGCCCGTTGCCTCCGCGAGAGCCGCCGTCCGACCGGGGCGCCCGGGCCGAAGCCGTGGCAGCCGCCGGCGCCAGCATCTCGGGCGGCGTCTCCCACGGGGGTGGCCGCGGGCCACGGGCGTCGCAGCATCGGCTGTCCAGTAACCTTTCGCGCGTCTGGCGGGCTATCTTCCGGTACTTCGCCGCTGGGTTCCTGTACAAGGCGTTCTTTTGCAAGCACATCGTCTTCGGCACAGCCTGATTCCGGGGCTTTGCCCCATCCTGGCCTTGACGTGAGGCCCCTCCTTCTGCCCCCCTTCTTTGTTAATTGAAGCTGTGCGCGGCCCGGTTAGCTTCGACCGGAAGAGGTGCGCTCTCGACCCGCGAATCAAAAAAGTCTGGCGGGCTAGCAGGAGACTGGAAGAGAAAAGTAGGGGACCGCATGCGAACCCTACCCCCACCCCCCACCATTTCTGAGGGGTTGGGTGGGGTTCACTTCGCTTGGGAGCTCCCGAGCAAAGTGAATCCCACCCTCCCCCTCAGAAATCGTGGGGGGTAGGGGTAGGGCTCGCAGGTGGCCCCCTAAAGAGGGAGGAGGGAGCGGCCTGGGGATCGAGGGGTGGAGCAGGGTGGGTCCTGGGGAGCCGTGGGAATTGCGGCCGATTCTTGATATTGTAGTGGCTTCCGGCCAGTGCCGCCGATCTGGGGTGCTACCGATTCTGCTTGCAACGGATGAGTTTTTTTGTTTTCAAACGAAAGCGTTCGCTCGACACATCCTCATAATATAGAGATGTTGAATTCGCTTGGGCAACCTTCGGATATGATATTCGAAAATGACGATCTCGCGTGAACAGCCAAACTCATGGGATGTTGACGTAGCTGATGTATGACACCTTTTGGGGGCGCTCCTGGGCTTCTCGGGGGGCTTTTTGGAGGCATCCTGGAGGCTTCTTGGGGGCGCGCCGGAGGAAGTTTTTGAATCTTTTGGGGGCCTTTTGGGGGCCTACTTTGGGCTCCTTGGGCCGTCTTGGGCCCTCCTTGGGCCGTCTTGGAGCCCTCTTCGGCGTCTCTTGTCTCTTCAGGTCTTCTTAGGGCGTCTTCTAGACTTCTGGAGCTGTTTGGGGGACAGCTTAGGAGTCTTGTAGCGATTTCTTCGGCGACCCAGGGCCCTCTTGGACCGTCTGGGCGGCTTCCTAGTTTCGTACTGGCCCGTGTTTGGGCCCTCCTGAGCGAGGGCACCGTCCCGGAGTGAGCTGGAGCCTGGATCCCACAGAAAAAATGGAATGGAAAGCTCCCCCGCCCCCATCCCTTGCCCCAGCAGAGCCAGTTCGGCATTCACCCCCCAGCAGAGCTGAAGTTGAGGAACTGAGTCTGGCTATATGTGATGGTCTTAGAAACTCACACCTCCGATCGACGGATTTTTTAGATGTTCGATTTCTTGCAGGTCTTCCGTGTAGATTTTCGTCGGCTCTCGATCCTCGGGGGGGTGCAACAGGAATCCTCAGAGGATGGCGATTCGTCGGCTCGTCGATCCCGCGGGAGTTCATGGCCCCCCAGAGGATATCGGTGTTTCGCAGGTTTTTCGTCGATGTTAGTCGGCCTTGAAAGCCTCCGTTGTTTTGTTCCTCCTTGGTTCCGGCCTTCGTAGGCCGCTTTCGGGCCCGAGGGCCGGCAGAAAACGGACAAGCGACGAATAACGACCCCTCCTGGGAAGGGGTCGTGACTCCCCTCGGCCTTCCCTCGTCGTCCTCGTCGTCGTCGTCGTCGTCGTCGTCGTCGTCGTCGTCGTCGTCGTCGTCGTTCGGCCATGGCGTCAGCCCCCACCCTCCCACGACTCCCGGGCTTGAATGGCGTCAGCCATGGCGTCAGGCCGCCCCCCTCCTTCCTCCCTCCCGGGCCTGAATGGCGTCAGCCATGGCGTCAGCCCCCCAACCCCCTCACAGAGCGAAGTTTGAGCGAGCTCCCCCCCTTTGACTCTCTCCTCCGCGGCCTCAATGGCGTCAGCCAGGGCGTCAGCCCCCCCCCTTCCTTCCCCGAATCCCCCCTCCCGGGCCTGAGTGGCGTCACCCCCCCCCCGTCTCCACTCCCGGGCCTGAATGGCGTCAGCCATGCCCCCCTCCCCTTCCTCCCTCCCAGGCCTGAATGGCGTCAGCCATGGCGTCACCCCCCCCCCCCCCCCCCCGACAGAGCGAAGCTTGAGCGAGCTCCCCCCGCCCCCCTCCCGGGCCTCAATGGCGTCAGCCATGGCGTCAGCCCCCCTCCTCGCCCGAATACCCCCTCCGGGCCTGAATGGCGTCAGCCATGGCGTCAGGTCCCCCCCCCTCGCCCCTCGAGGGCTTGAATGGCGTCAGCCATGACGTGAGCCCCCCCCCCCCCCCCCCCCCGACAGAGCGAAGCTTGAGCGAGCTCCACGCCCCCCTCCTCCCTCCCGGGTCTGAATGGCGTCAGCCATGGCGTCAGCCCCCCCTCCCCATCCCCGACTCCCTCCTCCCGGGCCTGAATCTCCCCCCTTCTGGGCCTGAATGGCGTCAGCTGTGGCGTCAGCCCCCTCCCCTCCCGACAGAGCGAAGCATGAGCGAGCTCCCCCCTCCCGGGCTTGAATGGCGTCAGCCATGGCGTCAGCCCCCCCCACCCCCCCCTCCGACTCCCTCCGCTTCCCGGGCCTGAATGGCGTCTGCCAGGGCGGGCGTACCCCCCCGCCCCCACCCCAGGCCCTCCCGGGCCTGAATGGCGTCAGCCATGGCGTCAGCCCCCCCCCCAATACCCCCTGACGGGCCTGAGTGGCGTCAGCCATGGCGTCAGGTCCCCCCCCCTCGCCCCTCGAGGGCTTGAATGGCGCCAGCCATGGCGTGAGCCCCCCCCCCCTGACAGAGCGAAGCTTGAGCGAGCTCCACGCCCCCCTCCCCCCTCCCGGGTCTGAATGGTGTCAGCCATGGCGTCAGCCCCCCCCTCCCCTCCAGGGCCTGAATCTCCCCCCCTCCCCTCCCTCCTCCTGGGCCTGAATGGCGTCAGCTACGTCGTCAGCCCCCTCCCCCCCCGACAGAGCGAAGCTTGAGCGAGCTCCCCCCCCTCCCCCCCTCCTGGGCCTGACTGGCGTCAGCCATAGCGTCAGCCCCCCCCCCCCCCCTCCCCCCTCCGACTCCCTCCTCCCAGGCCTCAATGGCGTCAGCCGTGGCGTCCCCCCCATCCTTCCTCCTGGGCCTGAATGGCGTCAGCTATGGCGTCAGCCCTTCCGCCCCGACAGAGCGAAGCTTGAGCGAGCTCCCCGCCCCCCTCCCCCTTCCCGGACCTGAACGGCGTCAGCCTCCCCATCCCGCCTTGACAGAGCGAAACTTGAGCGAGGTCAAGCCCACGCTCGCAGAAACTCACACACCGGATCGGCGGACTTTCAGTGCAGTGTGAGGTAACTTAGTCATCCCGCGTTCCTTCCTCGTTCTTCGTCTCTCTTCGTTCGCGTCCCCTCGTTCTTCCCCTTCCGTCGTTCTGCCTTATCAGCCGCTGTGCTCTCGGTGCCCATGGGGATTTGTGTCACTTATTGGTCGAGTCAAGATCATGAGATACTTCGGTCCTTAGACTGGGGGGACCGGCTTGGGTTTGCATTGCGGGTTCTAGACCCTGTCCCTTGCACCCCCCCGCCCTTGCTTCCACCCTCCACTCCCGCCTGGACCAGGCCCTGGCCTCCTCTAAGGGAGGCGCTCCAGTGCCCGTGCGCACGGGATGCAGCACCAGCTCCTGTCCTGTCCTGGCTTCTCCTGTCCTGTGCCCCTCCGCCCTCCCGTTCCCCGCCCCCCCCCGTCCCTCCCTGTATCTTTCCTCTTCGCCCCAGGTGTGATGTCCTGGGTGCCAGCACCAGTGGCGCTCGGCCTGCAGCCAGCGGTGGTCGCGGACAGCTCGCTGCCTGCGGCTCCCTCGTTCCTTGTTTGCCGAGGTCTGGATAGGATCAAGGAAGAAGGCCACGCGGGTCACTCCGTGATGGCTACCATGTAGTCTACCATGAAGTCATGAAGTACGGTGTGCTGAGCTCCGCTTGTCAAAAACTCTTCTTGGAGTTATCACATTGTATCTTTGATGCATCTACAGCTACTGTCATGACCACGACGGCGACTGCGGTAGGCTTCCTAGAGTTTGCTTGGAGTCTCCCTCGACGTGTCTTGGAAGCCACTTGGACGTCTGCCCTTGAGGGCCTCTTGGGGGTCTGTTGTGGGCCTCTGTGCCTCCTTGCGGGGGTGGCTTCCGCGGCGCGGCGGTGGCTTTTTTTTCTCCCTCTTGGGCCGTATTGGGGTCTCAAGCACCGTCTTGGGGGATTTTGGCGGCCTGTTGGTCCGCCTTGGACGCTCTTACGACCTTAACGCCGAGACCGCTACGAGTTGATTGGATGAGGAGGTTGACTGAGGGGAGGCGAAGGATGAGAACGAGGAGGAGCAAGAGGAGGGAAAGGATCAGATCAGCAGCAGTAGAGCAAGAGGAGGAAGAGGATGAGGAGGAGGACGAGGACTAGGATGATGATGGTGATGATGATGGCGGTGATGACGATGACGGTGACGATGACGATTATGATGATGGTGAGGATGATACTGATGATGCTGATGATGATGCTGATGCTAATGATGACGACAATGATGATGATGATGACGATGATGATCATGATGCTGGCAATGCGGATGATGATAATGAAAACGACGATGAATGTGCTGCTGCTGATGGTTATCGATAAGGATAATGATGATGCTGCTGCTGCAGATGATGATGATGATGATGATGATGATGATGATGATGATGATGATGATGATGATGATGATGATGGCGGTGATCATGATGCTGATTAGGATGATTATCATGCTGATGAGAACGATCATGATGATGGTGCTGATAATGATGATGATGACGCTTATGATGATGATGAGGGAGTTGTTCTTGATGATGGAGCTGATGATGATGGTTCTCATGCTGCTGCTGATGATGATGACGATGATCATGTTGATGCTGATTCTAATTATGTTTATAATGATACTGATGCTGATGATGATGACGATGATAATAATAATGATCATGAACATGATTATGATCATGCTTGTGTGATTGATGTGTTGGTCATTGAAGTGCCAGTGGTGGTTGTGATGATGCTGCTGTTGATGATGATAATGCTCATGCTGCTGCTGATGACGATGATCAGCATTATCGTGATCATGCTTGTGTGTTTCTTGTTATTGTGATCGATGTGGTGGTTGTGGTTGTGATTGTGTGATGATGCTGATGATGATGACGACGATGTTGATGCTGCTTCGGCTACTGGTGGTGATGATGATGATATTGATGATGAGATGATGCTGATAATGATGATAATGATGATGATGATGATGATGATGATGATGATGATGATGATGATGATGATGATGCTGATGCTGATGCTGATGCTGAGGATGCTGCTGATGATGATGATGATGATGATGATGATGATGATGATGATGCTGACGATGAGCACGCACGCTGATGAGAATGATGGTGCTGATAATGATCGCTCCTGTTATTGGGCCCTCCTTTAACAGTATAATCCCTCCCCTGCGTCTGTCTACAATATGAATACTACTCTCCCTCTTCTCCTGATGACGGTTTGAAAGTATTGCCCCCCCCCCCGCGCCCCCGCGTACTGTTTTTTACACAGGATTCCCCGGAGTTGGGTTTTCGCCTGCAATTTTTTCCAAAATGCTGCTCTCGCTCAGGCGCCGGCCTCGTTTTCGGGCCCCGCTCGTTCCGAATCGTGATCCCGCTGCAGCGCTGGCCTCATTTCCGTGCTTCCGCTCGTTCCGAATCGTGCTCCCGCTGCAGCGCTGGCCTCATTTCCGCGCTTCCGCTCGTTCCGACTCGTGCTCCCGCTGCAGCGCTGGCGTCATTTCCCGTGCCATGCCTCGGCATGCAATGCAATGCTAGGTTGATACTACGCTTTGTGGTGCTCTTCTGCGCCATGCCATGCCGGCTCTACAATGCATCGCGTACCCTTTCGGGATCATTGCCCTGCTCGATATCCGACTGTGCGAGTCGAGAGGGGATCTACGCCATGGTAAGGGATGGGAGGGAGCGGTAGGATGTCAGATATGACGCGAGCGCACCTAGCTTGCCGTTCTCCCCTCTCCCGCCGCCGTTGGCTTTGGGCGGCTGCTTCGATCCATTTTTTCTGGAGGGGATTTATTCCTACACCTTAGGCGATGTTTAAGAAAACTTGAGTTTTCGGCCAGAGTCTCGATTATTCTTAACGTTTCAATGTAATTCCTAAGATTTGAATAGAAATGTTGGGTGTTTATTCCATTTCTGAGACTGAATTTCTTAACCCATGATTTCTAAAGCATTTCGCAGGGTGTACTCCCGCGGGTCCCAGGACCCGCCCGCACGCATGCCGGGCCCCGGGGCGGGCAGGCTGGTGCGGCTGGCCCTGCTGGCGCGGGCAGCCGCGGAGCACCCGCCCCGGGCGCCTGGCAAGGGAGCGCCGGTGGGCACCACGGCCAGCGCGGCGGCGGGTGCCCCCGCGGGCGCAGCCCGGCAACCCCGCCGCGGCCCAAGCTGGCCGGGCGCCCGGCTCGGACCCTACACCAACCCCGGGGCCCCGCGCGGGGGGGCCCAGGGGAGGGGCGGAGGGACCGAGATTGGGGGCTCCCAAACGGGGTGGTGACCACACCGTGTGGTGAGTCGGTGGGGATTCGGGGTCACCGCACGGTTTTGGGACTTGGGTCGTTCTCCGAGGATGCCTCGGGCGACTGGAGCCTCCAGGGTCCCAAAACCGTGTGGTGACGGACCGTGCGGTGAGGGTTTTGCGGATTTCGAGGTCACCGCGGGGTCTGTCACCACACGGTTTTGGGACACCCAAACCGAGCCAGGCCAACCCTTCTGGGGAGCGGCCGACCCAGGGAGGTATATTGGTGCAGGGAGAGTTCTCGGGACCCAGGCCCACCAGCGCACGGCGCCCACGTGGCAGGAGGCCCCGCTTGCAGCCCCCGTCCTATCCCCTACTCGTCGTGGATCACGACGTGGTTCGAGGAGGGAGAGGGGGAGGGTGAGGAGCCCGATGAGGGGGGGGTCCCTGCCCTTTCCGGACAATCATGGAAGGGCTCGCGGAGGTGGTCCGGGAATCGGTGCGCGAGGGGCTGGCCGCGGCGGGGAGGTCCCCGCCTGGAATGGCTGGGGCGCCCAAAAAGGATCACCTCCTGGAGGGGCCCGTCGGCCTGGGGATTCCCGAGAAGCGGGTGCCCCGCCTGCCTTGCCTCCAGCGACTGGTGGAGGAGCTGGGGTGGGAGCGCGTGGGAGGGCTGAGCGCCCGCGGATGGTCCCGGAAGAGTGGGGGCCCAGCTGGCGGTCGGGGGGGGGCTACAATTGCCGCGGTTGGTGGAAATTGGACGCGAAGGTCGCCGTCCTGGACGACCGGGGCGCCGCAGGGGGGCTTCGGGGCCGGGGGGCCGGGGGCGAGGCGGTCCTGGGAAGTGGGGTCCGCGGCCATCCTGCCGCCCGCCTTGCGGAACAGCCGAGGCGGTGGACAGATGGGGGAGGTCTATTCGGGGCGGGGGAGAGGGCCCCTAACTACTGCCAGGCTACGCCCTGGCCAGCGGTGTAGAGCTCCTGCGGGGCGCGGCGGGCGGCGAGGAGGCGGAGCTCGTCTCGCTCCCCGGCGTAATCTGGAGGGCGCGCAGCGAGATAGGGGGTCTGCGCCCGCATTGCGCTATGGCAGAGGTATTCCAGGACCTCTCCGACAGGGCGGAGCCGCGCGCGCCGCGCCGCCGCCCGAAAGACGTGCCGACTCGGGGAGACTGTGCCATGGTTGGAGACGGTCCTGGTCTGCGCGGGGAAGTGGCAAACCCTGGCCACGGGCGGGGCGGCGGAACAAGGGCGCCCCTGGGCGCGTCCAGAAAGGCGCGGGGTCCCCCGGGCAGCCGACGAACTGGCGGCCGGGGGGCGCCCGCGACCCCGCCGGCAAGAACTTGGAGTTTGCCGCCGCGGAACAGGAGTGGCGGTCTAGGGGGCAGACGCCCCCAGGGCCGCGGGGCCCCCCGGGGGCCAGCGTCCCGGCCGCCCGCCGATGGCGCAGGAGACGCCCCGGCCACGCATGCGGAGCACTGCAAGCAGGAGCAGGCAGGGTCGAATAAATGGTTGGAGCTCCAAGGGGGCGGCCGGGCCGAGCGAGGGAAAACCTCGGCGGCGCCCGCAGCGGTTCAGATCGCTCCCAAACGGCCCACGAGATCCCGAAGAGGGACCCAAGACGGCCCAGGAGGCTCCCCAGACAACCCAAGTGTGCCCCAAGAGCGCCCCACGAGAGGCCCCAGAGGGGGGGACCGCGAACCGATATTTCGAGGCCTATGGCCCCAAAGGCCCCCATAAGCCCCCCGGAAGCCACCGAGAGGCCCCCAAGACTCCCCGTGAGGCCCCCAGGAAACCCCGAGAGGCCCCCAAGGGGCCCCGAGGGAACGCCCAAGAGGCCCCCCAACACACCCCAACAAAACATTTCCCCAGAAAGCCTTTCGGGCACATGGTTCATCATCATGGGCCCGAGAGTCTCCGCAGGCTCTGAAGTAGCATCACGCTACTGGAGTGCTGTCTGGGAAATTCATTGGGAACGTGGCTGATCGCTTTCTCGCGGCTCTCCTCGGATCGTTTCGCACAAAGTTGCCCCAAAGGCCCTTTTAAACCGTATGGTAGCACCCCGGACGTGTTCTGGCTTCTCTGGGCGCTGGGGCCCGAGTCTGTGACTTAATGATCGGCTTCAGCTGGTCCTACGGATGGGGCCAGGAGGTCCTTCAGAGGAGGCCGAGAAGCGCTGGCTGGATCTTGGGAGGCGTCCTTCCGACGACGACGACGAAGACGACGAAACGACGAAGATGACGACGACGACGGGGACGACGACGGGGACGACGACGACGACGACGACGACGACGACGACGGCGCGCTCCAAGAGGCGGCGACGACATCACGACGACGACGACGACGACGACGACGACGACGACGGCACGCCCCAACAGGTTCCCCAATACGCCCCCAAAAACCATGTTTCCAGAAGACCCTCTGGGAACCCGATTCATCAGGCTTCCGCCCCCTACGCAACCATCTCCACCGAACATTTCCAGGAATACGGATTGACACGCATGGCGTTCTCATTGCCCACAATGCGTTTAGCGTTATGGGCACTTCGTCATGTCCCGTTCAAGCTTTCTGTGGTCCACTACTTTAGTGGAGCAGTGAGCTCGTCAAGGCCTGGGGCCTGCCAGAACCTGAGCGCGCGCGACGCGCGTGCGACGCGCGCGCGATGGTTCTATGATATTCATTTACACATATATATACACACCATATATATACATATATATATAGACTCTTCTCCATTTTTCGCCATATTTTTTTTTTATCATATTTATATATCGATATATATATATATATATATATATATATATGTAGGTATGTTTATACATGCATTCACGCACACGTAAGCATATACATATACAATACTGTACATGTCAATCTACTCTATACTAGTAACGTAGCATGTATGTAGTATGTATTATATATATGTATATATGTATATATATATATTTATTCGATGTGTTATACATAATGTTTATTTTAGATACTCACTCATTTCTGGTAAGCATCACTTCCCCCCATGTCCGGGGTGACGGGTGGGGGTGGGGGTGGGCGGATTGGCGGGTGGGCTGGATGTCGGGGGGACTGGTTTGGCTGGTTGGCTGACGGGTTGGCTGGGTGGCGGGGTGGCTGGTTGCGTTGGTTGGCTGGTCGGGTTGGTTGGGTTGGCAGTTTGAGCTAGCTATAGCAATTTGTTTCGACTACGACCACGACCACAATTACGACTACTACGACGACGACGAGGATGACCCCGACGACGACGTCGTCGCCGCCGCCGCCGCCGCCCCCCCCACGACGACGACGACGACGACGAAGACGATTAGTTCATTTCTAATACAAAGTGCAGGACCGCTCCAGCGAGCTCTTGGTTTCGCGAGCAGCACAGCCCTGGATGCAAACCGTGTTTGTGGGCATTGCTATGAGCGCCATCACGCCCATCAGTGTGATGCCCGTTCCTGTCGGCGCCACGGTGCCTGTGGGCGTCATCGCGTATGCGTGTCCAGCGGCCTGAGGGCACCACGGAGCCTATGAGTACAGTGTTCGTAGGCACAATCATACACGTGAACGCCACGTGGACGGAGTCCTGGCCGGCTTGCAGGCATCAGTCGAATTCCGATTCTTGTGGGTTCGGAACGCATGGCCGCTCCGCTTATACCCATGGCTAGATTGCGCATGGACGTTACACAAACATTCGAGCTTAGATCATCTGGTTGTTCCCAGCCCATTGGCTCCGGCTGCCACTTTACCGTTGCCCATGCTGTCCAGCTCAGATCTCCTTGGGAGACGCTCGCCCCCTTAATACGAGAAGTAAACATCGCAGGGTCTGTGCTTGCCTTCCTGTCAGGCTCTCTTCGTACGGAGCGTCTATCGTTGGCAGCTCCAGTGAGCAGATCGTGGCTCTGCGTTCCAGCTTCGCCATGCCACCTCGTCCGTTTCTCTTATCCTCCTTCTCCTCCTCCTCCCGCTCTTGCTCTTGATAATCCTCTTCCTCTCTTTCTGTCTGCTGCCACCTCATTCCCCTTCCTCTCTGTACTGGTATGCCACGCGCAGCCCTTCAGGCACTCTGATCGCCTTGTGCCCGTCCGCTTCGCGTCCTGCCTGCTCCTGCTCTCATCCTCTCCGTCTCCGCCCCTCTGGGGCGGGGGAGGAGGGGAGGAGGGAAGTGGGGAAGGAGGTAGGGAGGGGGGGAGGGAAGGGGGAGGAGGGACGGGGAAGGAGGGGAGGAGGGGGGGAGGGGGAAGAAGAGGAGGAGGAGGAGGAGGAGGAGGAGGAGGAGGAGGAGGAGGAGGAGGAGGAGGAGGAGGAGGAGGGAGGGCCTGCGCCCTCTGGGCCACCGGCGGGGGGCGTGAGAATCAGCCGAGCCACGCGCTGCGCGCCCTGGGCTGGCACACCTCACCGCTCCCCTGCGCGGCCTCGGCATCGCTCGGACGCGTGCAATTTTTTTCCCCAGCGAAGGCCGTCGAGAAGCATCCTGGCTCATCCTGCGAAGAATAGGTGCACGAAGCCGAACATGCACGGGGAATGGTCGTCCGAGCGACGGCAAGCGGGGCCCCGTCCTGGCCAGGTGGCCATTGCGAGCACGCCCGCCACCGTCGCCGGGGCCATGAACTCCACGGCCTCCTCTGCGGCACGCCGCCGCCACAGCGACGGGGGCGGGGGGCCCCCTCCTTCTACAGTTACAGGAACGGAGGACCACTCTGCTCTCCCTCCTGATCTTGTGCCAGCGTTCTCCCGTCTCTCCTGCGTGCGCTTTTCCCATCCATCCTGTGGTGTTGGGCTCTCGTTTTGCAGAGCGCCCCGGGTCTCACTCACTCCTTCCTCCCCCTCCTCCTTGCCTCCTCCCCTTGCTGACGCCATCTCCCGCACGTCCTCATCGTCATCATCATCACCACTACCATCAATAATCGTCTTCCTCCTCTTCTCCTCCTCCGCGTCGTCGTCGTCGTCGTCGTCGCCATCATCATCATCATTATCATCATCATCATCATCATCATCATCATCGTCATCGTCATCGTCATCGTCATCGTCATCATCATCATCATCATCAATCATCGGCCTCCTCGTCGTCGTCTTCGTCATCACCATCATCATAGTCTTCACCATCATCATCACCACCATCCTTGTCAGCATCATCATCACCATCATAATCATAAGCATCATTATAAGACTCATCATCATCATCATCGTCATTAGCATCATCACCGTCACCGTGATCATCATCATCATGATCATCGTCAACATGATCTTCGTCAGCAGCAATAACAGCATCATCTTCACTGTCATCACTACCACCATCATTATCCTCATCATAATCATCGTTTTCATCATCATCATCGTCATCGTCATCGCCATCACCATCATCGTCATCATCATCACCACTATCAGCACAAACAGTATCATCTTTTCCACCAACCGCCGCCACCATCATCGTCATCAGCATCATTAGCATCATCATCAGTATCATCATCACCATCTTCATCACCATCAGCATCATCATCGTAATCCTCCTCGTCATCATCAGCATCATTCCCATCATCATCAACACTACCAACATCATCATCGTCTTTCTTACCATCATCATCATCATCATCATCATCAGCATCGTCATCATCATCATAATCATCATCATCATCACCATCACCACCACCACATCATCATCAGCACCATCATCAACACCATCAATTTATCATCATTAGCATTATCATCACCATCATAACCACCATCATCCTCATCTTTATCAGCAAAATCATCATCATCATCATTATCGTTACCACCGTCATCATCATCATTATGTTCATCATGCCCATCAATGTCATCAGCATCATTACCACCATCATCAGCAGCACCATAATCATCATCATCAGCAGCATGATCATTATGACCATCACAAGTATCATCAGCATCATCATCAGCATCATCACCATCACCATCACCATCACGAGTACCATCACCAGTACCATCACCATCACCATCACCATCACCATCACCACCACCACCATCATCATCATCATCACCATCATCAGCATCGTCATCACTATCATCATCAATAGCAGCATAATCAGCATCAGCATCAGCATCAGCATCAGCATCAGCACCAGTCATCAGCATCAGCACCAGCACCACCACCAGCATCAGCATCATCATCACCATCATCATCATCATCATCATCATCATCATCATCGTCATCATCATCATCATCATCATCAGCATCAGCATCAGCATCATCATCATCATCATCATCATCATCATCATCATCATCATCATCATCATCATCATCAGCACCAACATCAGCATCATCATCATCACCATCGTCATCTCGGAGCGTCCCTCACACGTTTCGTGACCCCCCAGAGGGGCCCCACCGAAGGCCCCAGTGGCAGCGCCCGCATCGCGTCGCTCCGCCAAGTTCGGCACACTCTTCACACGTTTCGCGATTCCACGGGGAGCTCCGCCGAAGGCCCCAGTGGCAGACCCTCGCACGCCTGGTGGCCCCACGGGGGGCCCCACCGAAGGCCCCAGCTGCAGCGCCCGCGTGGCGCCACCCCGCCCATATCCGCACCCCCGTCGCACGTTTCTCGACTCCACGGGGAGCGCCAGAGAAGGCCCCAGTGGCAGTGCCCGCGTGTCGTCGGCCCGACCAGTTTCACACACCTCTTGCACGTTTCGTGACCCCACAGGGTCACCCCGCCCATATCCGCACCCCCCTCGCACGTTTCGTCACCCCACCTTCGTTCCACCTGCCTTGCTGTACTCGCACTTGCATATGTCTGGGTCCTTTGCCAGGATAAAGTTGCATTTTTTTGTTCCCCACGTCCTGAGTGGGGTTTTTATGTTCCCAGACCGCCCTCTCCTTCATTCCTTTCCTCCCTACCTGCCTCCCTCCTTCCTTCCTTCCTTCCGTCCTTCTTTCGTTCCTTTCTTCCATCCTTCATTCCTCTCCTCCCCCTATTCTCCTGTTCCTTGTGCAAGCAAGCGCACTGCGTCAGGGTTCGTGCTCATCCTTCCCGCCTTCCTTCCTGGTCCACGCTCGTTCCCACTCCATCAGTCTCACATGGTTCGTGTCCTCCCCACTCCACCAGTGCCGTCTGACCCTCCTCGGAAGCGCCCTTCATATTCCATAAGCCCCAGCAGTGCCGTCTGATCCTCCAGGGCGGCCCCGTCAGACCGCGGCAAGCATCCGCGTACAGCTAGATCTTTTACGTTTTGTACCATTCTCATTCCGCCAGTCCCACCAGTGCCGTCGGATTTTCCAGGGAGGCCCGGCTGGACAGCGGCAGCCTCCGCACACGTCCTTTTCGCAACCACCCTGGGGTGTTGGGTCCTCGTTCAGAAGAGACAGCGCCCCGCGGTCTCTCCTTCCTCCCCCTCCCTCCTCCCCAGTCCGCAGGGCGTACCCGCATCCGATTCGGCACACCCTTCAAACGTTTCGTGACCCCATAGGGGGTTCCGCCGAAGGACACAGCACAGCGGCAGGGTCCGCACGGCGTACCCGCACCCGATTTGGCACATTGCTCACACGTTTCGTGGAAAAGGGCTCCACTCCACCGCAGGCCCCAGCGGCAGGGTCCGCATGGCGTGCCCGCACCCGATTCGGCACACCGCTCACACGCTTCGTGGCCCCGTTTGGCGCTCCACCGAAGGCCCCTGCGGCAGGGTCCACATGGCGCACCCGCATCCGATTCGGCACACCCGTTACTCCAGATTTCGTAATAAAAGGGAGGGGGTCTGGACCCTCCAAGACAAGCCATTTCAGACCTCCCCCGTGGGAGAACCCTCCAAAACACGTTTCGTGGCCCCATTTGGCTCTCCACCGCAGGTCCCGTCGGCGCGGTCCGCATGGCGTGCCCGCGTCCGACGCGGCACTCCGCTTGCCCGATTCGCGGCCCCATAGGGATATCACCGAAAGCTCTAGCGGCGGGGTCCGCATGGCGTGCCCGCGCCCGATGCGGCACACCCCTCAAACGTTTCGTCTCCTCCTCCTCCTCCTCCTCCTCCTTCTCCTCGGAGCCCCACCGAAGTCCCCAGAGGCAGGGTGCGCATGGCGTACCCGCATCCGATTCGGCACACCCGTTACACGTTTCGTGGCCCCACAGGGAAGCCCACCGCAAGCCTCTGCGGCAGGGTCCGCATGGCGTGCCCGCGTCCGAGTCGGCACACCGCTTACACGATTCGTGGTCTCATAGGGAGCTCCATCGAAGGGCCCAGCAGCAAGATCCGCATGGCGTACCCGCACCCGATTCGGTACACCCACACGTTTGAGGCTTTGAGAACGCTGAGAATTATTGCCAATTCGGGCGGGCCAGAACACGCAACAGTGAGGTCCCTGGGTCGCGTGGCGAAGATTATGCTTGTTGCGCTCGTTCATGTCAATAACACATATTGTTTTTTCGAGGGTTTTTTCCCCCAACCCTCCTGCGTTGGGTACCCGTTTTGAATCGAGCACTGTGGTCGCCGTCCTTTCTCCTCCTTCTCCCGCTTCCGTTCTCCCTTCTACCTGCCTACTACCTTGCCTCGCGAGTCACCTGTGGTCATCATGCGGATTCAGATGGCACCTCGCCATCCCCGGGGGCTGCGATCCGCGAAACGGTCGCCACTTTCGAGGGCTGCTGGAGGGTCCAGCGGAGTGACGTCCTACCCAGATTCAAATGAGACCTCGCCATCCCTGGGGGGCTGCGATCTCCGACGCTGTCGCTACTTTCGAGGGCTGCTGGGCGGTCCAGCAGAGTGGCGCCCTACCCAGACTCGAATGAGACCTCGCCATCCCTTGGGGGCTGCGATCTGTGGGAGTGTCTCCACTTTCGAGGGCTGCTGGGGGTCCAGCGGAGTGACCTACCCGGGTTCAAATGAGACCTCGCCATCTCTGGGGGGGTGCGATCTGCGAAACGGTCACCATTTTGCGAGGGCTGCTGTGGTGTCCAGCGGAGTGACGTCCTACCTAGCTTGAAATGAGACCTCGCCATCCTTGGGTGGCTGCGATCTGGGAAATTGTCGCCACTTTCGAGGGCTGCTGGGGGGTCAGCGGAGTGACGTCCTACCCAGATTCAAATGAGACCTCGCCATTCTTGTGGGGCTGCGATCTGCAACGCTGTCGCCACTTCCGACGGGTGCTGGGGGGTCCAGCGGAGGGACGTTCTACCCGGATTCAAATGAGACCTCGCCATCCCTGGGAGGGTGCCCGGGTGCCCGGTAGCCCTATAGCCGTATAGCCCTATATCTTTATAGCCCTATAGCCCTGTAGCCCTATAGCCCTAGAGCCCTATAGCCCCATAGCCCTTATATCCCTATAGCCCTACAGCCCAATAGCCCTACAGCCCTATAGTCCTGTAGCCTTGTAGCCCTATAGCCCTATAGCCCTATAGCCTGATATCCATATAGCCATGTAGCCCTATAGCCCTATAGCCCTATAGCCCAATAGCCCGATAGCCCTATAGCCCTATAGCCCTGTAGCCCTATAGCGCTATAGCCCTACAGGCCTACAGCCCTATAGCCCTACAGCCCTATAGCCCTATAGCCCAATAGCCCAATTGCCCTATAACTCAATGGCCTTATAGCCGTATAGCCCTATAGCCCTATAGCCCTCTAGCATTATAGCCCTCTAGCCTTATAGCTTTATAACCGTATAGCCGTATAGCCCTATAGCCCTGAGAGCCCTAAAGCCCTATAGCCCTATAGCCCTGTAGCCCTTTAGCCTTATAACCTTATAACGCTACAGTCCTATCGCCCTGTAGCCCTATAGCCTCATAGCCTGATAGCCCTATAGCCCTAGAGCCCTATAGCCCTAGAGCCCTAATAATCCTACAGCCCTACAGCCCAATAGCCCTACAGCCCTAAAATCCTACAGCCTTGTAGCCCCAATATCCCTATAGCCCTATAGCCCTATTGCCCAATAGCCCTATTGCCCTATAGGTTAGTAGCCTTCTAGCCCTATAGCCCAATAGCCCAATAGCCCTAAAGTCCTACAGCCTTGTAGCCCCAATATCCCTATAGCCCTATAGCCCTATTGCCCAATAGCCCTATTGCCCTATAGCCTAGTAGCCTTCTAGCCCTATAGCCCTATAGCCCTATAGCCCAATAGCCCTGTAACCCTATAGCTCTATAGCCCTATAGCCCTGAAGCCCTATAGCCTTATAGCCTTATAGCCTTATAGCTCTATAGCTCTATAGCGCTATAGCCCCAATATCCCTATAGCCCTGTAGCCCTACTGCCCTACAGCTCTATAGTTCTATAGCCCTATAGCCCTGTAGCCCTAAAGCCCTATAGTCCTATAACCCTATAGCCCTACAGCCCTATAGCCCAATAGCCCTATAGCCCTATAGCCCGATAGACTTATAGCTCTATTGTCCTGTAGCCCTATATCCCTATAGCCCTATAGCCCTGTAGCCCTATAGCCTTATAGCCCTATAGCCTAATAGCCCTACAGCCGTATAGCCCTATAGCCCCATAGCCCTATAGCCCTAAAACAATTCGGATTCGGGATTTTCTCCGGTATCATTCGTATGATGATGAATGGTGATGGCGGTGGCGACGACGAGGATGCCGATGAAACAAATGACGATTTTGATGTTGATGATGGTGGTGGTGACCATGAACGATGATGCTTGTCAAGGTGATATGACGATGGTTTCTTGGGTTGTGATGATGATGACCACGCCGATGATGCTGCTGATGATGATGGTGGCTGTGGTGGTGGTGGTCGCGATCATCATGATGCTGATGCTGATGATGTTGATGATGATCATCATGATGATATAATGATGATGATGATGATGGTGATGATGATGATGATGATGATGATTCTGAACATGATGATGAACATGTTGAACAAGCTTATAAAGATGATGCTGAGAAAGATGAGGATGACGACGATGATGCTGCTGCTGCTGATGATGATGATGATGCTGATGATGCTCATGATGGTGAAAGAGTAATGGTGAGGATGACCAGGATGTGGGTGGAGGAGGAGCAGGACCAGATGACGGGTAGTTGGGGAGAATGTGCTGGAGGGAGGGGATGGAGGAGGGGATGGAGGGAGGGGATGGAGAAGAGAGACGATGCTGATGACGCCTCCCCCTGCGCAAAGCTCCTGCAGCAGCTGAGCTCCACGCTTCCAGCAGGCTCGCGGCAGTTTCGGGGCCGGGGACGGCGCGCGTGTCATGCCGACGGACGGAGGGAGGGAGGGAGGGTAAGGATGAGGAGGGGGGAAGGGTAAGGAGGAGGAGGAGGAGGAGGAGGGGGATGATGATAATGATGACGATCCTTGTGATGACGATGACGATGACGATGACGATGATGATGATGATGATGATGGTGATGATGGTGATGATGATGATGATGACGATGCCGATGATGATGCTGATGAGGACGATGATGATAATGGTGATTACGACGACGATGGTGATGATGAGGATGAGGATGATAAGGATGGTGATGATTATGACGATGATGATGATGATGCTGATGATGAGGACGAGGACGAGGATGAGGATGAGGATGATGACGATGCTGATAAGGATGAGGACGATGATGATGGTGATGATGATGTTGGTGCTGATGATGATGGTGATAATAATGATGAGGATGATAATGATGATATTGATGATGCTTGTGATGATGATTATGATGATGATGATGATGGTGATGCTGATGATCATGATTGCTGAGGATGATGATGATGAGGGAGAGGTGGAGGATGATGATGAGGATGATGATGATGCGATCACGATCACAATGACGATGATGACGATGATGGTGATGATGATCGTGCTGATGATGCTGATGACGATGATACTGATGATGATGATGATGATGATGATGATGATGACACTGATGCTGCTGATGAGGATGACAATGATGACGATGCTGATGATGACGATGACGATGACGATGATGATGCTGATGACGATGGTGGTGGTTGTGGTGATGACGATGACGACGATGATGATGAGGATGATGATAATGATGATGCCGACGATGGTGATGATGTGGATGAGGATTGTGATGATGATGATGATGATGATGATGATGATGATGTTGACGATGATGATGACGACGATGAGGACGAGGACGAGGATGAGGAGGAGGATTAGGATGATCATGCTGATGCTGATGATGATGATGACGATGATGATGATGGTGGTGCTGATGATGATGATGAGGATGATGGTGATAACGATGATGAGGATAAGGAGAATGTTGATGATGCTGATTATGA